TTTGGTTTATCAAAATCACACAGCTGTAAGGTTCTTGTTTAAAATAATGGAATTCTTACTTTACCATCTGTATTTTTTTTTTGAAATACGCGTTTATATTTTTAATAATAAAAGTAATTTTTACAATAATAACAATTATCAGACCCATAATACTAGGCAACATTCCGATTTGCATAAAAGCCTGGCATATTGTATATATACCATATGCCAGGCTTAGCCTTTGCAAAAATGTACCTGATTTCATAGGGCCAAAAATATTTAATAGGTTACCTACTAATCTCAAAGATTTAGGAAATGTTAGAATTTTTAAATACCAACTCAAATTATATCTACTGTCTCAAACATTTTACTCATGAGTAAAATGCACTTGGTAATTTTTTCAAAAATTAATTAATATTTTTGTATACATTCACTTACTATTATTTGTTTTATTCTGATTTTCTTTTTGTATTTTAATATTTTAATCTGAGGCTTAATACACTAGCACTATTCACACCCTTTTTTTAATTAATTTTGGTATACCTACTATGAGTATATTGTTATGTTTAATTCTTACCGCTTTCATTATTGGAAAGTACGGACGAGCTTATACGTGCCTAGACACAAGACCACTTTCCTCGAGGTGTAGAAGGCAACTGGAGTAAAACTATTTTTTTTATTAAATAAATTTATTTCAGTGTCATAGGCACATAAGAACAAAAATAAATAAAGTTATAAATACAATGTATAATAATTTGGAAGGAAAAATCCATCTATCAGTTCTACAACAATAATACTACGTTTTACTTTTTTTAGAAACAGTTTACATATTATTAAAGACGGTAACAAAATACGTCATAAAGAATATCACTTTACAGTGTCCACCGGCAATGAATCGTCGATTTATAAAGCAATTAAACTGAACATGTACACATTTTTGTTTTTTAAAATATATTTTTTGAAATCTACGATTATTGTACAATGGACACTGTTTATTTAGTAATATTGTTTCGAGTAGATATAGTTATCTTTCTACAGGTGTTTTTACAAAAAAAATTATGTAAGCACAATCAAAAAAATCTTTGTAATTGACATTATCAACTTATAAACTGTGTAAAAGTTTAAATGGATGGAATTTATTTTATGGCCACAATATGGCCTACAATTTTCAAATAGCAAGTAAAAACAACAGACTGTCGATCAATAAAGAAAGCCATCGTAACAATTTCTTATAAAATTTTTAATAAATTCAATACATATTAAAAATAACAGCATCAATAAACATGTTGGTATAGTTAATTCTTAGAAATTAAAAAAGTTCGAATGGTTGAACACATTTTTGGAAAATATACGCTCAATAATAAAAAATGTGCACACCCAAAGTGGACCCTTAATTTTTACATACAATTTTACAAGGTACAACAAAATAGATTGTCTTTTAATTATTTACAGGTCCAAACAGGAAGGATTTTTTTTAGTTTTTACTTGTTTTATTAAAAATAATTGTAATTAAAAAAAATCATTCTGCATTAAAATTAACAACGTTTGAATATAGGTAAAAAAACCATGTAATACAGTGTCCCAAAAATGGCGCCTTGCTATTAGACCTGTACTGCACCGTTTGGGAAATACTACGTAGATTTTTGCCGAAATGAGATAAAATATTTTAGTATAATACTAGGCAATAATTTATCATATAAACTTGATTTAAAAGATAAGACAAATTAAAGCTTCCAGTTACGAATATTGCTTTTAATAAATTTTAAATATTTGTCATAATTATCTTAAGATGACATAATCCACATTGTTATGGAAATAAACCAAATACGAGATAAACTGGACGTGGCTACAAGATGTATTACATTTTTTATGAAGTTTTGTTTAAAAAGTAATAATTTAAATTATTGTAACGTTACTGTTCCACTTCACTGTAACATTTAACAATATCAATAATTCTTAATTATTCTTATAATATTAAAATAAAACCAAATAATTTCATTTTAAAAACTTAATAATTCAAAAATATCGTGATATGGTTCCAGTGCGCCATATTTAAGTCACCCTGTATATTTTTAGTGGTTTTTTTATCTTATGGTTATGACCTGTACAAAAAAAGTATAGCGCACGCGCCATGTTTTTTAATTAGATTCCTATATTATGTATATTTTGTGCATTTTAACTTGTGAAAAATAAAAACAATTGAGCAAGTTTTCTGTGGTAGGATGTCAAAAATTATATTATGTTTTCTATACTTTTTAAAATTAAAATTTTACAAGATAAGCGATACCTATAAATCCAAAAACACCTTTTTTAGGATATTTGTGTAAAAGTATTGCAAAACACGTTTTTAAAATGACTTTCCTCTGATGTTCCCAGTGGCGGATTTACCAGCAGGCTGAGTAGGCTCTAGCCTAGGGCGGCAGATTTTGGAGGCGGCAAATTTGGGGAACGATTCATAGAAATCAAAAAGATTTTTCTATGACGGTTTTCTGATGTCTTACAGATAGAAGTCTGCAACAAATTTTGTCGATGACTTTTCTCTCTTACTTCCCTGTTAAAAATCACCCATAGAGACCAATAGAAACCAATAAAAATCAGAATGGAATGAATTGGTCTTTATTGGGCCTATTGGTTTCTCAACAGAATGAGCATTGGTTTCTATTGGTAATTTCCGTACTGGAAAATGCCAATAGATTACCTAATGGTCTGAATTGGTTTTTATAAGAAGTTACAAGTACAGGAAATTCCGAATTGAAATTCAATTGGTAAATACCACTTAAATGTTCAGCGCCTGCGCAATTTAATACAAATGACCACTTGTTTCTATTGGCAATGTTCTTACTGGAAATTACCAATAGATAAACTAATGGTCTGAATTGGTATTTTATCGGTGTGTAGGTACAAGGAACCCTATTGGTATATACCACTTTGAATTTGTTATTGGGATCGCCAATAGGTAGACAACCCATGCATACCTCTCGCCTCTGTAGCACAATACATAGGCCTATAAAGGTGGAATGCCTTGAGCTGCTAAGTAAGGATTCCTTACTAAGGCAAAATTACTGGCCATGGAAACGCTTGGCGTTTTGGAATTTTTAAAGGGGCATAGGTCGTCCTGTGGCCCACTCTGCGAAAAGTAAGCAGTGGGCCCCACTACTTACTTTTAGCAGAAGCTATTTATAAAATTTAAATTAAATGTTAAACAGCACTATTTTTGAGAAATTATTTAACCATCAAAACACAATTTTTTACCTTAAAGACGTTTAAAATGGATATTGGGGACCAATTCAAACCAATAGCGGTACCTCTGGAAAATCCAAATAGCTCTTCTATTGGGAATTACCATTAACATTTAATTCACCTCTATCATTCTTTATTGGGAAATTCGATTAGTCTATCGGTCTGTATTGGGATTTTCCAGCGGTGTCGCTATTGGTTTGAATTGGTGATTCATGGTACAGATACCACTATTGAGACCAATTCAAACCAATAGAGCTACCGCTGGAAAATCCCAATAGCTTTTCTATTGGTCTTTATGGGTGATTTTTAACAGGGTTGTCATTGCACATTCCGAGAGTAGCAAACTTTCATATTCTAGAGTAAAACAGCTAGTTCGCCGCCCCTCAACCAGTAATCGGCCTCTCGCCTCTGCGCCCTTTGCCCACACTTCTTATGAGTGAAAAGAGCGAAATTGTAAAAAATATGACTGAGTCGATTATTTTTAACTGTTTGAAAGCGCAATAAAGGTTATTTATTCACGTTTACCAAATGTTCATTATTGTGTAAATAGCATACGTATACGTATATTTTTGAGCTTCGATTAGCTCAAAAATATACCGAAAAATTATTTTACGTGCAATTTCAACGAAATTATTGCATTGTAAAAATAATGTATGATATGACAATTGTTGAGGCAAGGGCGGCAAAAACTATTCAGCCTATACCTTGAAAATGTGTAAATCCGCCACTGGATGTTCCTTTGAGCGTAGTGTCACTTTTCTGGCGAGCAGAAACAGTTAACTAGGTACTTTCAAAATAAATGACACCTTTATAAATATTGCCTCGAAAGAACTATGGTTCTGTCAAGACAATATAAATATAAAACAATATTAAGACGGATTAATATACAAAACATCGTCAAAAGGCAACAAGGTTGAACTAAAGAGGAATATTTACAACGAAATCTTGGTATCCCAGAGAAGAAAAAAGGCAGTTTATTGAGGTTCTTTAAGCCAAATAATAAAAATAAAAAATTGTTTTACCACAATAATATTATAGCCATTACAAAAGCTAATAAAATCCATTTATAATCTTTGATTTTAAAAACGTTGGCCGACTTATGGCCAAACGTCGCATGCAGATGTATTTTAAGTCGGCCCGATGATGAAGATAGACGTCCAAATAAATTAATTAATATTTTAATCTAGTTAGCTCCCTGATAATGATTTTAAAAATTTAAATATTAAGGGTGTTTAAAATGTAATTGTTTTTTAATATACTTTATGTTTATTAATAATATTAAATTAAATGTTTCAATATTCGATATCGTCTCAACATTTTGCTGACGCAATGTATATATATATATATATATATATAATATATATAGCTATAGCTTCCTAATCATGATTTTCAGACATTTAACCGCCAATCAGTGTAATAATGGAAAACGACTAATAAAAAAACAATGTTGGTTCGACGTTACCAGTCTAATATTGAATCAAGGTAGCTTTGTGCCTAAAGGCTATAATGCAATTGAATAGGGATTGCAAAAATATACATTCTGGTACTTGGGACATATAAAAAGAAAAAAAATAGTCACCCTAAAAAGTTTTTAAGTTAGATCACTTTTCTGAATCGCAGTGGCGGCCTGGTGGATTTTGGGCACACCCATATCTCAGTTATTAGACATGGGACCCACATCAAATTTATATGAGTTTATAATGACATTATATAGACATGTTCTGCGCAGGCAGAATTTAAATTAAAGTTTGCGAAAAAAAGTTAGTTTTTAAGTGCAACCCCCAGCCTCCTGCCCCTCCAAATTAAGATAATTCAAATTAAAGTGGTACAATATTTAATTCACTGAAGTTTATCGACAAATTTTAAATTTTATTAAAAAAATTCAGGAATTACAGGTTTTATACCATTTATAAGTTTTATTATTTCTTTTACTAAATCTAACTTTTTTTCGCAAACTTTAATTTAAATTCTGCTTGCGCAGAACTTGTCTATATAATGTCATTATAAACTCATATAAATTTGATGTGGGTCCCATGTCTAATAACTGAGATATGGGTGTGCCAAAATCCACCAGCCGCCACTGCTGAATCGATATTATGTAGCAGGCGCGGCCAGTGACGTACGCACAGGGTATGCACGTGCATTTTATTACTCTGTTAAACAGAGAAACAGAGTCTGTTTCTCTGGTTGGCATTTATGAACGGAGTAAGAAAGAAACCTGCGCGTACGGTATCTGCGCGTAGGTCACTGGCCGCCCTGTTATGTTGGTATTATTATACAGGGTGTCCCGAAATCTACAAGCTATTTTTAGGGCCAAAAAAAGGAGGAAAACTTTTTGTAAACATAGGTCAGCAATTACCCCTAAGGAACCTACAGAGCCCATAAAGGGTTTGAGATAAAATAATGTATTTTTGGAAAATATATGTATTTTTTATTAATAATATTAATATTTCTTGTTAAATATATTAAATTTAAAAAAAAAGATATATTTTTTTAATTTCTTATTAAATTGTTATTCAAAAATGGTGCATTTTTTCGATTTTCAGGAGTACCTTTTTTACGTACTCTAAACTTTAAATTTTTATATTCTGCAGCCAACTTGCAAAAAAAAATTGCACACCAAAAATACCCTAAAAACCCTACACTCATAAATTTAAAAAAAAATTGTTATTTTTTAATTATGTAGGTATATGTAGGTATGTATATAAGAAGATTTCTATTCCTATTTTTGTATTTAGAAATCACGTGTAGAGTATTGCACACTATTTTCCGAAAACTCTATATAAGTTATAACATTTAACAAGTAGTTTTTAGGCATTAAATTAGTTTTTAAGATAATCCATGTTCTAACGTAATAACTACCGAAATTTGTATGGTTTTTATAGATTCTGGTAAAAGTGGTGGGTAGGATTTTTTATTATTGCAAGAAACCTGCGCGATATACCGGATTTTCCTTTGACATGCTTTATCTGCTTTTTCTCGTTTTTAGTCATTAGGTTGATTTTTTCTTACATGGTGACTGTTTCTGGAAATGCAAAATATACATTTACAAAAAAGCTATTACGTGACAAAGCCGACTCGAATACTCAATTATAAATATTATTTTATAGAAAAGCTGAAATATTTATTTAAGTATATCAACATAAAGTATATTATAATTAAAATATATGTATGAATACCTACCTATAGGGATAATATAAATTATAGAAAACAAAATTTATATTTTGTCATCTAACCACAGATTAAATATTCCGGTAATTTTAAGTACTACTAAAATTATTTTTTGGGAACAAAAAGACCAAAATTAAAATAAAAGGAACATCTTACCCTTTACTTTGTAATAATTAACAACAATTGGGCACAAAAATCGATGTGAAACATACAAATATGTTAAGGAAACGTACGGTTTACGGTAGGGGGCAGTCCTGATGGCTTTTCCCTATAAAATAAGATTTATTGTAGTTAAAATATATAAATATAATATAATATAATATTTGCGATCTTGCTAGTATCATGCATAAAAAACGATTTATAAAATGGGGGGATTGAATCTAATTGAACATTTTTAGGGTTATGGAATAGCGCTTGTCGTGGATTAAAAGCAATCTCTTAAGACATAATATTTAATCCATGCGTAAATGCTATGTAAATGTAATTAGTAGTGGGGGTGGAGACATAGAATATTGGAAAAGATAATTTATCCATTTCAAGGGAAACATTTTTTTGCCGTTTTCTTTGCATTTTGAATATTTTTTGTTAAAAATATTCGCAGGCTTATAACTTTGTCCAATGTAACCATATATTTTGCAAGCTTTTAAACAATACATAGGTATAACTTTAGATGAAACCCTATTGTACTAAATACAAGTGCTTTTAAAGCTATTAAATTATAAATAAATCTTTATTTAGCAGAGAGCTATTACAATAATTGAATTTTATATATGTTTTATTCATTAATTAAGTACCTACCTACTTAAAGCTACATTATTGTATTTTTTATTTGTTTTTACTTCATACTAAACTTAACGCACCAAAACTGTTAAATTTAATTTAAATTAATTTAAATAAAAAAACAAATTTAACTAGACTAAAACAAAGTGTTCCCCTAAATTTTTGAAGGAGAGAGATAATAAAAAGTGTTCCCGGGCCCGGTTGTGGGCCAGGTTTTATTTTGGCACAAAAAATTAATTGAATCATTTTTGTGGGGTGTTTTATATACCGTTGGAAAGCTGATGTTGCCGAAAGTAGATACGCGTTTAAAAGATAAAAAAATATGGGAAACTTTCCGTTGTGTTCCACAGGGCTAGCACCAGGGTACGGCAAACTTCGAAGTGCGGCAAAATTCGAAGGGCGGCAAAAATCGAAAGGCGGCAAAAAGTTATCGTACTATTGTTTCCCATTTTTAAATAAAAGTGCGGGTTTCTTTATAATAGCGCCGACAAAGGATCAATGGCACGCGCCGCAATGTGCGGTTTCTTTTGATTTATCAGGATTTTGCTTTGTTTTTAGGCAAAATTATTTTAATTAAATATTCTGCAAGCATTTCTCTTATCACCGCTTTTGTTTAATTTCGTTCAGTGGAACGACGAGTTTCGTTCTGTGGAACTCATCAGTGTCGAGTTGCTATAGGCTTGAGACCCAAACGAAAACTTTAATTCCCTTTCTTATATTGGAAAGGAATAGTTCAAAAGCGGCGAGAAGAGAAACGCGTCTGTCGATGCTGGCATGAGAAATTAAACAAAAGCGGTGATAAGAGAAATACTTGCAGAATATTTAATTAATATATATATCTAGCGAGTTTGTCGCAAAGTATTAATACTTTTAATACGATAACTATAAAAAATTATTTTAGTTGAAATTGAACTTCTTTGTGCAATTGTACACTACCTTAGGTACCTAGTCTACCTATTTGAAATTTAATAATTTGAAAGGAATAGACATTTTGTTCCCTGTGGTTGTGGTATTTACATGGTGCTTGGCTTTTTGTGTGTTTTTAAGGTATTTATGCAAATTTTATACAAAATTAATATAATATCATAGCATGCACCCTTTTAATATATGATATTTTATTTATTTGTTATTAAATAATATTTTTTTATTTTTTTTTTTAAATTTTTTCTTCCCCTTAATGCTATAACTGGATAACTCGAAATTTTACGAATCCAGTTGTACTAAATACTTACATACCAATTTTAGAATATTTTTATTTATAAATGTGTTTTTGCAGATATCTAATTGTAGCATCAAGGGGACGATATTATTTAGGTAATTTTTTTTAGAAATTATACCTAATTATAATTATTATTATACCTAATTATAATTATTATTATTATAATTATTATTATTATAATAGGCACTAAAAAGTAGGTAACTATGAGGGGCGGCAAAAATGTTTTTGCACGGGGTACCAAAATGTCTGGTGTTCCATCTGAAAACCTAAAGGTTTAAAAATATAAAGAAAAAGCAGTACAAACTCAAAATTTAAGACCATTTATTCATTGCATAAGCCTTCAACAAGTTGGCAATTAAATGCAAAATGATTCATCAATTTTATTATTTTCATCACTTGGACGCCTATTGTTGACTGCGAGAAAATATCCTCCGGAGAGCTCTCCCTGTAATAGAACGAACATTCACATCCCCGAAATTTTCTCTCGGTATGCCAAAGTCGTATTCTCGACGGATTACCGTGAGAAGCATGTTGCCATATTTATATACTGTATTCAATCAAATGAAAGTAATTTAAATTTTCCGCGTAAGTTAAGTTGATGTCACATTTGAAATGTGATTAATAAACTACTTAGATGTAAACAGTTTTTTGTTGCAAATTCAAAGAGTGTTTGTGTATTAATTATTACTAGTCAAAATGGAACGAAAAGTGTCCGTTACTCCAAGACAAAAAGAAATTGTACTAGACTTCTTAAAAAGCTACCCTCAACTTTTAGGTTTTTAATTTTGCAGAATTGACAAAAAAAGAGGCACAGGCATTATGGCAGGAACTTGCTATAACATTAAATAGTATCCCTGGTGGAGCAAGCAAAGATTATTAGCTCTAAAATATCTCATAAATTTTATTTCTGATAACAGAAATGGATTTTCCCGGTTTAAAACAACTCGGTTGGATTCATCTGCTTGTTAATGAACCCAACCGAGTTCTTCAGCATCTTGCAAGTCACTGATAATATTAAACGCTAGATTTAAATTGTGCGGATCCATTGTAATAAATCACTTGCAAAACACACAGAACATAAGCATAAACAATAATACTAATACCAAAGAATAAACCATAAATAAATTAGGTTAGGTATTAGAGAATTCCGCCCATTTCTATTACAAATTTCTACTCCTACGAACTTGAGAATAGGCGTCCTGGTCGGATCGCAATATTTTATGAATTACCAAAATACACAGAAAAAATCCTTTAGATGAAATTCAAAACACTGAGTGAAACACAACCATAGATAAATCTAGGAACACAACCGGGGGTCCCGATGTGTCGCTTGTCACAAAATACAAAAAAAGATTCACACGAGTCAATTATTTGTGTGATATAAGACCGAAAAAAAAAATTTATACCATACGTATTGTACATAACCTTTTTATTTACTTCTAAAAAAAATTAATTAAAAACAAAGTGACACACACAGTGTTCAGAAAAACTGTACCAATAGGTGTTTTTGGTTTACTCAAAAGATGAGACAAAAACGTCTAAAATGATGGGTGAAACACAACCGAGGATGGCAATCGCCCGATTGTTTAAACAACCGGGGACACTGCCATACTGTAAAAATAGCGGAAATTAGTAATAGTAATTTACGTTACAAGGCCAGGAAATGGCTTATTAAAGTACGAGTCTAGATGTTTACGGACGAGGCGACGAAGGAGCCGAGTCTGGAATTTCTAGACAAGTACTTTAATGACATTTCACGGCCGTGTATCGTACAATGTTTTATTTCATACTATTCAATATTTTTTTCAAAGTTTTGGTACTAAAATTGAACTGTATATTCAGGTGAAGGTGTCAGTAATGTGTCAGTACATGATGGTATCAGTATTGTCTAAACAAACTATAAAATGTAGCACCAGTAATATACTGCCGTCCTAAGCGCAGAAGCGGTAATTAACATAATGGCTGTCATGAGATATTGGTACTTTTATGTTAATAGCTCTGCCAACTCAGTTTGGTAACAGATACCGCTAAAAATAACTTGATATTTCAATCATTTACTGACAAAATACCGATTTAATACCTTATTAAAGTAGAGATTTTTAACCCTAGTTTCATATTACGGAAAAATGACAATTTCCTTTAAATGTGCAGTTACCGCTTCTGCGCTTAGTACGGCAGTATAGGGTGATAATGTAGTATGCTTTAAATCGGTTGCTAACAGTAACAAAGAGTTTTTTTTATTGATTGTCTTGTCTGTCAGTTTAGCATCGTTTTGAATCTGTGGTTTTGAATAATTTCGAATAAAATGGATGCAGAGATTTTGAAAAAAAGTTCTGAAGCGACGGCGAAACTTATCCCGGTCAAGTGTTCCGGACGATATCAAAAGGAATACGAGATATTCTGTGAATGGCGCAAAAAATTATAATCGTTCAGAAATAACCATGTGTTAGTTAAAATATACGAGTCCGGTAAAGTTACTTTACCGGCCTAGTGATGTAATGTATCATTTCCCGGACTCAAATGAGTCCGGGAAATGGCACATTAAAGTACAGTATGAAATAAAATATGGTAAAATCTGTAAAAATAGCCAAAATATTCAAATGCATATATGAGTACCTTAGATGCAAAACTCGGTTTTTGCAAATTAAAAAAAAAAAAATTGGCTTTAAATTCTGTTTGGTGTTCGTCCTAGATAAATGGCGTTTATAAAACTTGATACATAATAATATATATAATATAATAATATTATGTATCAAGTTTTATGAACGCCATTTATCTAGGACGAACACTAAACAGAATTTAAAGCCAATTTTATTTTATTTTTTAATTTGCAAAAACCGAGTTTTGCATCTAAGGTACTCATATATGGTGTATAAATTTAAAAAAAACATTATACAAGCCTTGTATAATGTTTTTTTTTAATTTATACAATTTGTAGGGATTAATAAAATTAAGCACTTACGGCAAAAGTCAACTTCATCTTCTCTTATGAGTCCATATACAATTTTTATTTGGGCCTTCTTCCCCTATAAGATCTTGTTTCGGTACCTTGACTAAAGCTGTGCTGTTTATTATTTAGGTAATGTTGCTGCCTATATAAAGTTGTCTGACTTTTACCCGAAGCTGAAATGTTAAAAATAACCAATTATACAATTAAATATAATCATTGGGTAGGTACTATACAGGGTGGCCAATCGAAAAAAAAGAATTATTTTTTCTACACAAGGCAATAGTGATTTTTTTAAATCGACCTAAATTCCCTTTGCGCAGAGGTCACAACTAAAACCTGAAATTTTAAATGGCATAATAGGGCACCTTTCAAATAAGATTATCATTTAAAAGGTCTTGCTCTCATGACTCTTCAAAAATGTAATTTCTGTGTATTAGTTTTCGAGATATTTAATATGTTGAACAGCGCAGTACGATTATTGTTTAAATAAACAAGTACATAGCTATTTATAGGGTTAAAACATTAAATGGTCTTTGAATTAGCAGTTGTTATTTTAAACAATATTGACCAGGAAGGCATTACATTTTCTAGTAATTCCAAATACGTTTCTCCTGTCAGGTTACCATAAAAAATGGGTCCAAGCAGACGATCTTAGAAAATACGTATTAGGTACCTGCCCAGGCATTAAATTTTTGAGGAGTTTAAGTGTGGATTTCGTGGAAAACCCTTGGATTTGCATGTGACCAGTAACAATAATGGCTATTGACAGTTGAGTTAAGAAAAATATACACTCGCTAAAAAAACAGATGTTAAAAAGCAAATGGGCATGATTAGCTATTTGTTTAGTAATAGTAAATATAAAAACTGCAGTCGCCGTTCAAAATCATCCTTAATTATTCAAGGACTAGATAAAAGAAATTTATGACATCAAAGGATCAGTTGAATTATCGTTCTAGGAATGTTAGTAACCGTAGCTAATTTCCTCGTGCGTATAGTTGGGTCAGCACTCCTATCTCAGCAGCTTCATTTCTGACCGAATGTTCACTTTTGATACTGTTTCTTGGAACATGGGCACCAACTCTAAAACGAATTTTCTATTGATGTGCCTACCTGGATGATGTTCATTGAATAAATCTGACGCAGAATCTTCGCAATCACTACACTGTTCAAAATTTCATGACCATTTTAACACCAAATTTTACCTGGTGTAAATTGAACTCCTTTTCAGTGTTAAACATTATGTGTTTGTGGTCAAATTAAATCATACTACACAGAAAAAAGGAAAGAAAAAGGAAACAGGAAGTTCCTTGACGCAGTACTAGTATATTACCAGTGGTATTATTCCAGAAAATGGAAGCTTCAACTCGCTAGAGTGCGTTCCACTAACTTAAAATACTTCAAATATTGACAGCTGTTTCCACCTATTTAAGGTCTCTTTAGTATCGAACAACTTGTAGTGTCACACCAAAGGAAAGGACTACCTGAGCTTATATATATATTCTTCATGTAAGTCAACAAAGGCGAGATTTAAGAACATCACGTGATCCACATTTTTAACCATAAATCATGCTGTTACATTAACACCACTTGGTGTTGGATTTTGACACCATTTTAAGATTAATCTTTACACCGCAGATATTTTAAACAGTGTATTTTATAAAAAATGATCATTTCTGGAACTAATTTGGGTACCTACCAACTTAAAAGAATGATTAAGGCTTTTCTTGCGGTTCGACAGTTTTTCTTTACTTTTTTATTTGAATAAGAAACAAAGTGTCCTGTTGCAACTTCAATTTAAAAACGAATGGGGAAAAATTTTTTTTTCATGATACTTTGAAATTTGGACATGTTGCAACCAGAGGTTCTTACTTTGTATAAAACTAACTGCAGGAGGGCATACGGGAGACGGAACACTAAGTGGTGGAGCCCGGAACTGACCACCCTCAAGAAACGGCTCTGGAATCGAGCCAGACGGACAAAATATATCATTAGGCCAAGAAGTAAGTCTTTTGTTCTAAACTCAAAGTTTAACCACAATTAAGGGAAGCACAAAAATACCTTCTGGGCAGAATGGCATTCAACATTGTATTCAAGCTATGATGTTTTTAAGAATTTAAAGCCAATTTTATTTGCTAAGGGATACATGATACGTACAATAATTATTATTAAGAAAGTTAGGTTGATACCATCTTATTTAGTAAAGACTTTTGACATCTCTAGGGAGGATTTGCAGTCCTCAAGGATTTATTATTCCTTCTAAATAAAGGGTTTCCCGACGAAAACGAAACAGAGGAGTTTTCGGGTAGTAAGCAGTGATTTTTAAAAAACTCAAAGGTACGTCTTTTGCAATAGATTTTACTTGCAAATCGCTTTACCCTTTGCGCAGTGGTCAACAGTTGCGGATCCAGGATTCAGTATATATAAATAAAAAATACTTACATTGTAAAACGTAAGGCATTTTTTGATTAATGAGATTAGGAGGCAGTGACATCCTCTGACGTTCGTAATCGCTTGCTGGAGTAGGAGATCGACTACTCCAATTTGTACCCGGAGTTGGGGTCCTCACATTGCTAATCTGAATAAATAAAACAAATACAATTAGCTATTATGTAAACTATACAGTATACTGTATATTATAGTGGGGAAAACTATAAGAATACTAATTTTATGCCCATTAATCAGCAAACAGAGTCACGTTTAAAACACGTTGAGGTTTCGTTAAATTTCGCCCAAAAGACGTGATTAAAAAATGTAAACATCACTTGTAAAATCCGTTGAAATGTCACATTTCTAGGACGTCTTTTACAGACGTTAAAATCACGTCTTACGAGCCGTAATATTCACGTTTTGATGACGTACATACTACGTCCTCAGATAGGCTTAGTTGACGTCATTTAAGACGTTAAAATCACGTACGTACGTATGGGCCAATCCTTAAAGGCTCACCTCGAAATGCGCTTCTCTCTCAGCATTTTTTAGACCAGACCCTTATCACAGCGCCTGTATTACAGGTGTATGTATCTTGACAACAATTTAAGTATCAAAGTAATGCTAATTATACTAAAAAAGATGTACCTAAGTTTTTAATAAATAAACAATGTATATATAAAATTTGTTTTCCCAAATAAATTATCTATAAACTTGTGCCCAAAAAATTGCATTAATAGTAGGTATTTGCAATAACAATCAGAAATTGGACCGTTTAGATGAAAAAAACAAGCGCTAGAATTTTACGAGACAAACCTCACCCAATCTCACGTGGAGGGGAGGGTGGCCTCGGCAAATATCACGTAATTTCGTCGAAAAATCGTCAAAATTGCCTCACGTAACCCCAAAGTGATTATATTTTTAACCTAATGAAATTAAGTATTTCTTATAAACTCAAATAAAACTAATTAAATAGTAAACAATACATTATAATGCCTAATTGAAATTTGAAAAATTGTTTTTTTATGTTTTCCAATCAATATATGTATTTTTAAATATTGAAAAAAATTGGTTTAAATAAATTTTTATAAATAGTTTATTTACCGCGTGATAAATACAAATCCTTAAGAAATATTTTATTTCTAAAATTATGATTCAAAATTAAACAAATTTAGAAATCAAACTAAACTACAAAAAGTTGTCCTTTAAAATATTTCTATTAACCTCTTATTTATTTTATGTAGCTGATGTTTGTTATGGATTTCTAAAACATAAGTAATAAAAATAGTTTTTTTAAATTCCTTCATTCTAACAAACTTATTTTTTGTTAAATTTAGTATCAGTAAACATATTCATTTTAAAGAAAGACAGTAAAACGCTGGATCAGAAGATTTGAAAATGAAGGAAATGCCCAAGACATCCGAGACCGCTTGGTTTAACAACAGCCACCACTCTAGAACAGGATCAACAAGTTTTAGAATACGTCAGGGAAAATCCTAAGACTAATTATAGTCTTATTCGACAAAATGTTAAGGGTTTAACTTGTTGTTCTCAAACATTACGTAAAAGACTGTCTGATAATGACTTGCATTGTAGAAGACCTGCAAAAAAAATTGGTCTTAATGAAGTTTTAGCTTTGGCCAGATTTAGGTTTCTTTACTTGGGCTGGTCAAATTTAGTTTTTTCTGATGAAAAAACATTTCGCTCAAATGCTCATGGTAGAGTGCACGTATACAACAGATACCTTATATTTAATCGAAAAGTAAATATTGTATCGCCAAGAATTATAACATTTGTATCAAAAAATACTTATTCTTAAGTTAAGCATTTTATTTGAGGGTGCTTGCATTTAAAATAATATGATAGTTTTTTTTTTAAATAAGAATAAGTTTACCTTTGCACCTAACATTGAAATTATATTAAAGTATAGGATTGTTCTTGCATTCAGCTCCCTATATGCTTCCCTTGTAAAAATAAGAGTTTTTAAAGTCTTACTTTCTCTTAAAAAGTCTGAATAATACAGCAAGTCAAGCGCATCGTATGTAAAAAATTATAATTATTACACCTTACATATGTTATTATATATTTATTTATTTATAAAACTCCAGCAGGCAGTGTCCAATTACAGGGGATTAGGTAATATACAGGGTGTTTCATAATATATGCGCAGGACTTTAGGATGTGATAGCTCATCCAAAAAGATGAAAAAAGTCGCTATTAACTTACCCTCTAAAATGCACAATTTTCGAGATACAGGGTGTTGAAATTTTAGAAAAAAATTCGTTTTTTTCGAATATCTCCGGTACCGTTTATCGTACAAAAAACAGCTTTTGTAAGCATTTTCTACTCAAAATAAGCTATGTTTTGTGCTAGAAAAAAATTTTTTTCCTCATAATTGGTGGAGATTTTGAAGGGGTAGCGGGTGTTTTTCTCCTCAACTTCTACGCCCCTGAAAAAAGTACGGTTTTGAGAGGCCCATTCGAACCGCCAATGTTTTCTACACAAAAAAAGTACTCCTGGTCATAAGCTCTAAAGTTGACCGTTTTCGAGAAAAATCAACTTTTATGTTTAAAAACATGGTCAATTTAAAAAAAAATATTTTTTTTTACTAATTAAACAAAATTTATTTTAACGTTAGGACAAGTAACAAAACCAAACCATAATTGCAAAATAAAAAATGATTTAAAAGTTGTCTTTGCTTAATTCTCCAAACCGTAAAGGTAACGCATTTCGCACATTTCAGCATTTGAGTAAAAAATCATTTTTTAGTTTTTTTTTAATTTTGCAATTATCGTTTGGTTTTGTTACTATTTCTAACGTCAAAACCGTACTTTTTTCAGGGGCGTTGGTTGAGGAGAAAAACACCCGCTACCCCTTCAAAATCTCCACCAATTATGAGTAAAAAAATTTTTTTTCTGGCTCAAAACATAGCTTATTATGAGTAGAAAATGCTTACAAAAGCTGTTTTTTGTACGATAAACGGTTCCAGAGATAATCTAAAAAAACGATTTCAACACCCTGTATCTCGAAAATTATGCATTTTAGAGGGTAAGTTAATAGCGACTTTTTTCATCTTTTTGGATGAGCTATCACATCCTGAAGTCCTGCGCATATATTATGAAACACCCTGTATAATTCAAAATTAATAGTAAGACAAGCATAGCATACTTATAAATTATAAGTTATATATATATTATTATAATAGGGATAAGGTTACTAAAATACAATAATAAAACTTAGGTACAGCTGTTAATTTAGAAGTAAACTCGAGATTTGTCTTGAGAACTGTTTATATGTTAAATAAAATATATCGACTGATTCGGAATTAAAACTATTGCAAAGTCTATTAATTGGCGAGTAAAAGTTATGAAATGAATTTGTGTATAAAATATGTTTTTTGTCCTTGTATTTATTCGAGGCAAATTAAAATTTATTTGTTGTAATAGGGGAGGGCAGTCTAAATGTAAATCGACTATTTTGTACAAAAATTAAAAATCAATTATTTCTCTACGTTTTTTTAAAGAGCCGAAGTTAAATTCATCTAATAACCAGGGCCGGATTTACGAATTTGCCGCCCATGGGCCCAACACATCATTACCCCGAATAACGAATGACTCAGCGAATAAGCTAGAGTCGCGCCCAACTCGCCTCGTGTACATCGACTGTCGCCCTTCTACGCAGTGACGCACTACGCAGAATAATAGTGTAATCTGATGTATTAAAAAACTTCTCTTCCAACTTTTTATAGTTTTAATTAGTGTATAAATCTGAGTGAAAACAAAAATTCTGCATAAAACGCTCTTGATTTTTTAGCAAAATTTTAACTGGCCTTCAAAATTTGCCGCCCCCAAAAATTTGCCGCCCTGGGCCCATGTGGCCCATGCCTAAATCCGGCCCTGCTAATAACATATCATAATTATAATATCTTTCAGGGTAAACGTTAAGTTTTTTTTTAAATAAATTTTAAAAATTTTCTTTGTACCTTTTCCAACAACGTATATATTTATATTAATATGGATTCCAAACAATGGTACAATATTCGAGTTTGCTTCTGACAAGTGCAAAGTAAAGATTACATATTAGTTGGATAGATGAAATTTTTTTACAGTTTTGAATAATAAAACCTAATAGTGAATCTAGTTGAATAGTTTCAATATGCTTTACAAAACTTAATTTCGAGTCAAAAAATACTCCAAAATATTTACACTCTTTGATACGACTCAAGTGAGTGTTATTTATGGCATAATTGAAATTAATCAAAGTATTTTTACGAGTATAAGTCATTAGTTTACATTTGTCTAAGTTAAGGTCTATAGACCTATAGTTTATTAGTAATACACCAATCATTAAGCGAATTCAGATCCCTCTGCAGCATCCTACAGTCATTAATATCCCTTACTTCACGATATATTTTCATGTCATCTGCATACAATAATGTATTAGAGTTTATAGATTCACTTATGACATTAATAAATAAGAGAAATAAAAGGGGGCCAAGGTTCGACCCCTGAGGTACCCCTGTGGAAGCTACAAATGGAGATGACCTAACTCCCTGGTATTCCACATACATCTTTCTGTTAGTGAGATAAGATTTTAAAAGCAAGATTAAATTATTTGAAATACCGAAATGACTCAATTTATTAAGTAGAACGTCATGAGAAACTCTATTAATATATAATTTCCAATATTTTTGTAATTTACTTTAAATGTACAAATTATTTTGAAATAAATAAATATTATTATTATTATTATTATTATTATTATTATTATTATCAAACGCTTTACTAAAGTCAGTGTATGCTACAGTATAAACCACTAATATATGAACGTGACTCATCGGGTGCCGAACATATCTCAGACATGCTAGCAGTAATGTTTTACTTGTCTTGTACATTCGATGCAGCGGTAAATGTACTCACACGTAGGTTTTTAAGCATCCGGTCTAAAATTCGCCATCTGTGATGTAAAACTGCCTAGGTGTTGGACAAAGATAGACATATGACGCGTGTCCTAGCTTGTTACTTATATTCAGTAGAGTTCGTGTTTTAGGCATTTATTTTATTTTATTACATAGTAAGGCAACCAAGTTTACCGTCGGCCATTTGTTTTTATATGTCATATGATCTTTGTTTTTGCATATCGTATTTC